AACACATAACCCTAAGATTCAACTGCTGTTGGTATGAGTCTCCTTAATTAACTCCATTTAAGAGAAACTCTTGCTCAAAGCCTGATACATTTTGGGATCTGTCTTGCAGGAAAAAATCTTGGAATGGCAGTTAGGAGTAGTCCCTAGTGCGGATCCTTTTCCACGTTTTGCTTTGCTCCCCTTTTTAAAAAGGATCAAGTAGATTGAAACAAGTCCCCCTGGGAAGAGTAAGAATCCCTATGGGAAGGCAGTGAGGAGTACTAACGCTCTTTAATTTCCTCTCCCATCTCACCTCCTTCCAGGCTGCCCCTTAACACCTCTGCAGGGCTTCCTTCTCTTGCATAAACCCCTCAAATCACCTTAAGAAGTTTTTCAGAACAAACAGTTGCAGATAGTGAAGTAGAGAGGTCAGGGCCACACATGCAGCTAACAGCAAAAACATCACCTTTTATTTTAGATTTTAACAGCTGTTTCAGACCTCTTCAATGCAAATTTCGCAAATCATCTGCAGTTCCGTGTGTCAACCAAGCCCTACACAATCAACCATTTCTTTTTAAAATGATGCAATATGACAAACACAAGAATCTGAAGCACTGATTGTATACACTGGGGATAGATTGTTTCCACTTCGTTTCCTCCAGCTTGGTGCATTCTGCCTTCAGTCAGAAAAAAGATGAATACTCTGTGTTACATATTTGATGAGATCCTGCTTATCTTTATAGTTAAATGGCAAGCTTTAGGAATTTACCCAAATTCCTGGATGTGCATGTATTCACACAGCCAAATGTCATTCAAGACACTTCTCTGGGTCCAAGTGCCAAAGTTGGATGCCCCAACCCTGGCAGAGTACAAAGCCAGGTTAGATAAAGCCTTGAGCAATGTGGTCAGGTAGGAGGTGTCCCTGCCCAGGGCAGGGGATTGGGGCTAGATGATCTCTAAGGTCCATTTCAACCCCTTAACATACCATCATTCTATGATACATCATCCTATGTTGATGTGAACTAATTCTTCAGGACAAGTGCTAACTGATTTCTTCAGATCACTGCTTAAATACAAGACATGTTGCAATGAAGTAGATGCTACTTTTCAGAGCAAGAGGTCTAAGGTTTTACTGCCTTTCCCATTCTGCATGTGCTGCAGAGCTGAAATATCTCCCTCCTACCTGGACAGGATAACATGGTGACTTGCATGTCTTACCAAAGAGATGCGACAAGATGCATGTCCCACCTTTGGCACAGAGAGAAGGACAAGCAGTTGCTCTGTACAACAGAACTGGGCAGGAAAGACCTTCCTCCTCCCTCTTCTTTACAAAACTGAGTCCAAAGCACAGGCTGGGACCAGCCACTCTTATCTGTTGTGCTGGAATGTGCCTCAGACTTGCTCAAATTCATTTCTCTTAGATTGGACATTTGAAAGGGCAAAGATTTAAGTATGGCACAGTCTTATCTAAGACTGCCTAATGGGCAAACCCCAAATTACCTGCAGTGGGGCTGAGGTCACTTGGCCTCTTCAGCCTGGAGAAGACTGAAGGGAGAACTCATCACAGCCTGCAGCTTCCTCGTGAGGGGAGGTGCAGAGGAGCCCTGATCTCTCTGGCAACTAGTGACAGGACCCAAGGGAATGGTGTGAAGTTGTGTCAGGGGAGGGTTAGGCTGGATATTAAGAAAAGATTGTTCCCCCAGAGGGTGGTTGGGCACTAGAACAACTCCGCTGGGCAGTGGTCATGGCCCCAAGCCTGACAGAGCTCAAGGAGTGTTTGGACAATGCTCTCAGGCACATGGTGTTGAGGTTGGGGTGTCCTGTGTAGGGACAAGAATTGGACTGGATGATCCTTATGGGTCCCTTCCAACTCAGGACAATCTGTGATGCTTCAACAACTGTTATTCAGCTCAATTTAGACATAGCAGCAACTGTTTTATGCAACCAAAGAAATTTAAGTGTCTGAGTAAGCCAACATGAAAACTGTGGTGTCTAATTAGCTCAAGAAAAACAGCCTTACAAACTGCTGGTGTGGGCACTAAAATTCAAATTCCTCCTAACTAGAAACATTCCTAAATTCCTTTGTAAAACTAGACCTTACAGGCAAATGGGTAATAAATTAATTACTTTCCACATCCAGAGGGTTTTTTAAAAGGTTGTTATGACAAGGCTACTCAAGTGAGTATGTTATGAACACCTGAACAATGCCTCTTCAGTCCAGAAACCAAAAAAAAATTCCCTTCCTTACTACACTGAAGCAACAGAATGACCTGTACCAAGTGATCTAAATGTAGCAGCAATAAATTGTTAATCTCTTCTGTCTACAAAATAACTTCCCAGTTAACAGAGGA